AAGTTGGCTTTAATGTAAAGCCAATCGATTGTTCCCACGATGCAACAAAGTTTCATCTTTAGGAACAAGGAAGGTACTTTTATTTTTGAATTTACATGAAGGAACACAGCAAGTCATTTTAAATAATAATGTTACGATAAATACGAATACCGATTCACAGTCACTTACAAATATTACGAATACCGATTCACAGTCACTTACAAATATGACGAATACCGAAATACTTGTCATTCGAGTAAATAAAAAGGCGGTAAAGTATATTATATCACCTGCATATTATCATAATAATATGCGAGATACTTTAAAATTAGTTCTGTATTTTGACACATGGGCGCTAGTAGTTAATTATTTCCAGCTGTTATATATGGTCAGTACTCAGTAGTCACTTTGTAAATCAATCTGAAAGCCGTTTATTATAGGACGATGTGCAACCTGTATATCTTTAATCGTGCTTGTAACACTATCTTAAATCTATTACTGTATATCGCTAATTTGTTAACCTAGCTAGTTATTTACTACAACAATAATGTAGTAACTTTACAAGTTATAATAGTTATATACGACATTATTATAAACATTTAGCTTTATTATAGAAAATATTATAATATTGCATATTCAATAGGTATCAATTTATTTGTTGATACTATTATTAGATTGAAACGTTATCAAAATAGTATCCGCAGAGGAAAATATTAATGGGGATAAGAATTAAAATTGATTTTTGCATTCAATATTTTCAAATAAAAATTGTGTACGACTACACTGTACATTTGTGACTCATTTATCTTTTGTTCCCGGTTTACGTCGTTTGCGGTTGACTTCGGAATATCGGACGAATCTCGCCGACCGGACCGACGCGGCGACGCTATTCGTCTATCGACAGACGACAACAGCTCACAGCTGCTAGTCTTGGCTGACGGTGCGCTACTGGCATTCTGGCAACCGTCAAAATCGGTATTTCCATCTTTTTACTTTCACAGATTTTAAATTTTAACTTTTCGCTGTTGACTGTGGTTTGAGATACTTTACTAACCACAATTGATTAGAAGACGACTTTTTGTCGATGTTTAAAAATCGTTCTGTTTAGTGACTTAGTGTTTACTGTTTTGTAATATTGTGCTATAATTCGTCGTTAATATAGATCATGGATTTTTATAATAAACACTTCCATCGACTAATCCGTAATGTGGATCCCAATGGCATGTTGAATGTGCCACTTAACGTGTTTACTAATGGAAAATGTCTAGAGAAATATTTTAAGACGAATAGTGACTTTCGGAAATTAGACGTCCCTTGGATGTGGTAAGAATTAAAAATATAATACAATATTTACCTATATCATTGTGCATTTTTACTATATTTAAAACTCTTAGCTGTTCTCCTTATATGCAAGATAGATAAAACTTATTATTTAAAAACGTTTATGTACTTATAATAGAGATTCCATACGTCCTGTATTTTACAGGATTGTCCCGTATTTGAATGAAGTATCCCAGGGACCCGATGAAATTTTTTTAATTGCTATCATAAGTCCCCTCACCCCTCCACCAAATTAACACACATTGTAAATTACAAGCATAGGTATAATTTAAAATGTCCCATATTTAAAAAATTAATCTTGGATCCCTATCTTACATCGGTTGGACTGTTATTTTTTTATGATCATTCAAATAGTCTTCCATTTATGCCAATTTTAATCCTATTTTCTACATATAAATATATATTTTAAGTGCATCTCGATCTCGTTAAACCAGTTGTTAAGTGTAAATAGTTGCCATTTTTATCTTCAGTGTGAATTGAATATGGCCAATATTTTAATAAATAATTATATAAGTTCCAACTGTTGTCTGTTCATTGTAAATAAAAAGAAGCTTTATAAGGCTTTATAAATTGCCTTATTGTTCAACAAATACAAATAAAAATAAATAATAAAAACAATTTATTTTTGCTACATTTTTATAATATATGTGTTATATTTATTTTATGTTTCAGCGATCAATTAATTATACTTTTGCTTAACTTTGATGATATAGTTGCTATTTCGTCAACCTTACAATTTTTGAAAAATGACTTTCAGCGCATTAAATATCCATTTGTTTTGATAAATCAAGCTTTTATTGGCTTAATTTTAATACATGCAAATGCCACAAAAGTGTATTACAGTAAGTTTATATTTGTAACTATACAAGTGGTTTTTCAAAGATAAACAATATTATTCACTTGAAACTTATCAATGTTTTTGGAACTACATTTTTTACGTAATTTGAAGATAATAAAAAGCCCCTTAAAAAGCAATACTTTTGAAATTAAAATATATAGTTATTCAGAATATTTTATGGTGAACTTCAAACAAATTGTTAATTACTTATTACCTAGTTGTAACTTTAATACATTAGTAGAGTGGATTGAAAGTGAGACATAGCGCACCCWTTAAATTATTGCTTTACTACTACACTCATATAAATTTTAAATTCCTATACCCAAATAAATATCTATTTCAAAATTTGATTTTTCTATTAAATTTTCCAGAAAAATATGTGCTTAGGAATATGAAATTAAAAATATAATGTGTCATTAAACAACAATAAGAAACCTAGTCTTATAATGTTAAAAATAATATATGTTATTATATTATTATTAAAAATAAGTCATTATATCCACAT